TTGCTGAAGAGTCAATGAGTCGATGCAATCAGCTGGTTTTCCTTAGATAGAAAACTTTGAATCAATCTGACTGGATGATCTGGTTGATCTGGATCTATAAAGTGACCTAAGATGATGTCATGATGTAAATTGGTTGTATAAAAATAAACTGAGTTGAAGTGAGAATGAAAGCTGGAATGACTGTGAGTCCTGCAATGTTCTCCTGGTTAGATCTGGTTAGGTCAGGCTAACGGCTAAAGGGAAAATGGCCAAAAAGCCTGCCTGTGCTGAGTCTGATGATCAGCAGTGTCTCCAGTTTAGTTGCACCTGATGAATCCTGAGTTGATTCTGTTTATTCTATAAAAATTAGAGCTGAAAAGTAAACCCAGCCCTGAATTAAGGGGAGAAACGTAAACATAAAGAGGTGCAGCGGTCTGCTTGCAGACATGGACGACTGGTCCAAGTTTTAAAATCTTCTGACTCAAAAGCTGCTCAGGCAGAGAGGAGAAACATCACCAGGATGAATGTTAAGGGTTTGCATCAGTGTTCATTTCGTCAACCAGGACGATGACAAAAATATGTCGTCAACGCCCCTTTTTCCCGTGACGATGACGAGACGACGACGCACAAAAATTGTTTCCAGGAAAGAAAAATATGACCAAAAAAAAAAAACGATCGTCAACAACAAGAAGAACAGATAAAATTTACGAACCATTGATGAATGGACATTAAGAAATGTAATTGCCTACAGTTCATTTGTAATTTGTAATTGAATTGTTAATGTAAGTGTTTCTTGAGCTTCATAGAAGATTACGCGTTGTTGCCCTGTGTGTCCCGCATGGCGCCTGTCTCTCAGCGCCTCGCGCCGCTCAGTCAGTAGCAGCAGAGGGCTAATTATACTCCTAGCTCAACTTCGCAGTCATGGCGTGGGGCTCGGTTAGCGCTGTACGGTTTGTTGGAGGAGCTGGGCGAAAACAACGCCTGGATGTATGGATCCATTTCTGGGAATCCCCAGCAGCAGCTGCCTCAGGCCCGCTCGCCTCTCCAGGGTTTTCCCCTCCTGTTGGTGGCGGCTGGAAGTAGATGTTAGCGTTTTTCAGGTCTGTGCTACAAACTGCAGGCAGCAGGATAATAAAAGCCAACATATTCTGCCGGCAGGTTTCTACATTTGAAGTTAATTTAGGCGTTAATAAACTGTTTCAGAGGAGTGATCATAGCGCTCTGCATCAGCAGTGCTGCGTCTGACTCCCTGCCAGCTCCCAGATCAGCTTCTCTCATTGGTTGATGTCCAGCAGATAAAGGTCAATTTTTTGCTGCGCATCAAGTATTGACTTTAAACCTGCTGCTTCTGCTGCTAGCGGTCTGAACGTAGCATTAGAGACCGGCCAGAAGAAGAAGAAAACAGTTACACCGTCCACACCGTGTCAAACCAACAATAAATCAAACTTCATTTATACTAGTTTCTAAACAAATCATAAATCTGTGTTTATTTCTTTGGCCACTCTTACTACTTTTTAATTTGTTTTAAAGCTGTTAGCGTGTTTCACAGTGAAGATGGCTCAGAGGTAGAATGCTTCAGTGACATACCAGTCGGCTCTTATATCTTGCTGTTTGCAGAAGCAAGACACAAAACATAAAGCCACACATGTGACATGGCTGCAGGCAGCAGAAGGAAGCATGAAGAGGAGGATGAAAAGACAGACATGATGGATCCATGGAGGCCCAGATCGGTCAAGGCCCTGTGGTGTTGTTGGTGATGCAGATTGATGTGTGGCTGTTTGCAAGCGCCTTCACTGTCAACATAAAAAAGAAGGAAAAACAAAGAAGCAGACAACAATGAGCCGATGATCCAACATCAGAGAAGACCAGACAGATTGAAACGTATAGAGCAGCTATAGCGAGGAAGGAATATCTGGACATGCATAGCCAGGATGGATGACTTAAGGATCTGATTTGCAGTAAAAAACACCGTATATTTAGAAAAATGCCCAAAAATGATGATTTCCTGTAATCTATGGAGCCAGAAAGATCTTTAAGAGCTAAATTTACCATTTTAGGGACCAAAGAAATGACTTGAACTTATCAGATAGTAGAAGCTTCTTTAATGAGGTTTGCAGGAAACAAGGTTGGAATTCAGACTGGTTCCCAGGAGAGTAGATCTACCCCCCAATAAAACAAACCAGTTAGCTCTGGCTAGAAAGCAGCATTAGTGATGGTCATTCCAAAGCCCCGTGAACCAATGAAACAATTTCACACAATTGACTAAAACTCGACACACATGATACGTTTGATAAGGTTTAGAATGGCGGCATCTGCTGGACGCTAACAGAACTACAACTGAGAGGTATCGTAATGTCAGCATTATTTCACAGTCGATTTCATTTGTTCCATAATAATTCTATTGATGATGAGAGTAAAACACTAATATCTGACCTGTAAAATTGCAAAACGATACACTGCAAAAAATTAAAATCTAAAAAAGTAACTTTTTTCTTAAAGTCGTAGGGAAACGGCTGTTCCAACCGTTGCATTTCCGAATTCTTCTGTGTGGTGCACGACTTTACACGGGTGAATAAAGTGAATGCGATTGGTTGATTATCCAGAGGGAGGGACTGTTGTGGCAGAAGGTTCGCAAGCGAGTTTGGTTGTGGCCGATGTCTTTGGAAACATCTTCCAAACCAGTGTGGTCAGAAAATTAAATTTTTCTTATTTCAAATATTAATATATCCTATTTACTCACTATAAACTTTTCACTCAGGCTGTTTCACCTGCAAAGCAACAACATTTTCCTGCGTGAAGGTGTTTGTAGAGCAGACGTAGCTTCTTGCCAAAACAAACCAGATTCTTTCTCCAGGTTTATTCATAACATGTTACGGTTTAACCAAAGTGTCTGTAATATGTAATTAAAGGGAGAAACACTCTGCCCAGGCAGAACAGGGCTGATTACAGAGCAGTATGATGAACTGTTCTCTCTTTGCAAAGATATGAAAATAAGGTGCCAGTAAGTCTGAAGGAAGGGTTTAATCTTTCCTTCAGGCTCAATCCCGGACCTATTTATCAGTTCAAATACGCATAAACCATCCTATACCGCTCCAATCAAGTTTCAGTATTATGGTTTGAGGCAGGACATACAGCCATGATGAAAGCAAGAGTTGCAGAGCCCAAAGCCAACCAAATAAACCAGGCAGCAGAGGAGGATGGATGCATAGCTGCTGCTGCTTCCACACCTCTTTCATCATCCTCCATTTTATCTTTCAAAGAGCAACAGTGAGACAGGAAAAGAGGGAGTTATTGTGGTTTATCGTGGTTTCTGCCAAGATTGGCTAAAAGCAAACTTTGGTAGACTGTTGGCCTGGCTGAATAGGTGGGGTCGTCTGTTCCCCTGTAAACTTAGGTTACTTTGATCTTTAAACTCTTAACCGCTTTACAAGAGAACAGAAGACCTCCCCTATTCAGCCAGGCCAACTATTCCCTCTAATGACCCCCCTTTCAGAGACATAGACAGGTATGGAGCATTGCAGGCTAACAAAGAAGCCAAA